ATATTTAAAGTATTATATATTCAACTCCAAACACGATATTGAAAGTACTATATATTCAACCCCAACACGATATTTAAAGTATTATATATTCAACCCCCAACACGATATTGAAAGTACTATATATTTAACACCAACATGATATTAAAAGTACTGTACATTCAATCCCAACACGATATTGAAAGTACTTTATATTCAACTCCAACACGATATTGAAAGTACTATATATATATATATATATATATTCAACGCCCAACACGATATTTAAAGTATTATATGTTCAACCCCAACACGGTATTGAAAGTACTATATATTTAACTCCAACACGATATTAAAAGTGCTGTATATTCAATCTCAATACGATATTGAAAGTACTTTATATCCAACCCCAACATGATGAAATATACATCGTTATCGTCAAAGTACAGAAAACTGAAGAGACAGTTGATTTTTAAACTGTCATTTTTTATAAGTTCGACTTCGATTATCTTTAATCACCAGCTTTGGATATTGCAGAATTCAAGTATTTGGATCTTCAAATTGGTTCTATCATATCATATTTCAACACATCAAATATACCCCAACCCTAGAGTTCGGAATCAGTTCAATACAAATTTTATTGTTTGGTTTGTTTGTTTAAGAACAAAGCTAAACAATGGATTTTATGCACTTTGTCCACACCAGAAATCGAATCTTGAATTTTAGCTTGTCACTGAGTCACTGGAAAAGCGTACATTTTCTTCACCTTTTGATACCATATATACTTTTACAGTCTTAACTTAAAGCTAAGTTTTCAAATAAACAAGGATAGTTAACATTATTGTCAGTAATTTACTATAAACAACGCACACAATGAAGAAGAATTAAAAACACGAAAAACGGGGGGGGGAGCTATATTTGGTTGTATATTTGATACAATAAAAAATAAATGTGAAACCCAACTTATTATACCATTTACCACTTGTCATTGAGTAATATCGTTTTGGGGAATTCCAGACCTCATCAGTAAACCTGGAAGAATACAACTTGGCTTCACATAGTGGCGGACTGTATATGTATGTATGGGACTTACAATATGATACATATATATATATATATGAAGTTTTCAGCTTTACTTTGGCCATAGTATTTTTACTGCGGTTAATTTGATAGGGTATAGTAGTTTCATATTATAAATTCAAAGAATATCTCTCAGTAATGTATAATTTTCTGATAAAGCTTGTGATAAAAACATATTCCAATTAACGAGATATACAATGTAATCATTTTAAATATTTAGGTTAAAAGAAACAGTATTTTTCATATTAAAGTTTTCAAACACTGTAATAATATTGCAGTTTTGAGTACAAACAAAAGATTTAAGTTTTACGACTAGTATAATAGTGTTATGTCCTTAGACAAACATCATATTAAATTAGAATAAACGTACATAGAATTCATCCAGTAGCGTTTCAGATGGTTCTTTCACATGATAAGGAAGATTCAGGATGAAGAGCATAGAAAAATCTATTGGTAATTTACCGGTTTCAATCAGTGTTTTTCCATAGAGGAAGGCTGGATTGGTGCCGACGATGGAAAGTGTTTCCACAAATAACTGTCTGCAGAAGTTAGGACTTTTCATTAATAAAAATGAACGATTACAGTCAAAGTTTCTATAATAATTGAACAGTGTTATCAACCAGAACAACAAATATTGGAACAAGAATTAGTCAGCCACGGGATTAGTGGCTTTTCAAATAGGCAATGCTTGCTAATAAAGGTCACATTAGTTAAATAAAATTCATTTACCAAAGTTGCTAATAAAAGTTCAGTAACGCTTTGCTGATTGTTTAATTTTGGCTTTTTTCGAAGAATTGGGGGAATTTCTTTCACCGAAACTAAACAAGTCAGCAAAGTGCTACTGATCTTTTGCTCGTAATTTAGGTAATTAAATTATATTTAAAATTTAACGCTCTACTGTGTAATTTTGACATCTCCGTTAACTCTGATTAATTTTGGACCAATAAGAACGAGACTTTCACCTAAATAGCAAACTGTTTTTGTGTATTTATTCTAAAAGAAGTTTGAGGCGTTAAAATATGTGTCGCTATATCTATTTAAAGATTGTAGGAGTACTATAAAAAGTTTGTATTAATATAAAAATTATTACGATGAAAAGTAATACACATTTTGTAATTAATATTTCTGTGTATTATAATTGTAAAAGTGCATGAATAAATTGAAATACAGGGTCATATTCTAGTACATTCATGACTTAGCTGATCAAGTTTGGTACTGTTATTTTATTCCAGAAGACGTGTATTTCATATTAATTTTGTGAGTAGTGTCACGAGTTTATATTCAAATATGTATGTTGTCTAGAACAGTAAATATTTCGAAAAGGAAAGAAATAAGAGTTTCAAAGTTTCTTATGTGTCAGTGCATTACTATGGTGCACGTAAACTAATAAAATTCATTTTTATAATAACTTTAACCAGAAGAGCTGAAAATATTGGCTGTAAGAGATCTAAAATACTGGGAGGTAATACGTTTTAGTGCAGCACGTTGACTTCTTGTATTCGGTGTAAACTTCACTAAAGAAGGAGAAGTAAATATGTATTTATGCAGTTTTTTTACGATTGTTGATCTAGAACCTTCTTTACCTAACTGCAGCATTTCAACAAATGCAGATGTGGTAAGCTTGATGCTTTGTGTCAGTAAGTGTTAATTAAACTGGTGATAAACTTTCATACTTATAGTGCTTGAAAATATACTTGAGCACCAACTGACTTGTGCCATCAAGTGTTCATTAAACTAGTGACAGACTTTCATATTTTACAATGCTTGAAAATAAGTGTAAGCACTAACTGATTTGTGTCATTAAGTGTTAATTGAACTGGTGATAGACTTTCATATTTATAGTGCTTGAAAATAAGTGTAAGCACTAACTGATTTGTGGCATAAAGTGTTCATTAAATTAGTGATAGACTTTCATATTTATAGTGCTTGAAAATAAGTGTAAACACTAACTGATTTGTGCCATTAAGTGTTAATTAAACTGGTGATATCCAATGTGGTTTTGCTCTTAAACAAACATAATACGTTGGCAAAGGAAGAAAGCTTGAATAAGCTGTGAAATATTGAAGTTGAAAGGAAATAGTTTAATTAGTTTTTACGTGGAAATGAAAGAAGTCCGAATAAAATGTGAGCTATTAAAGCTTTAAAGAAACAGTTTACTTGCGTGGATAATAAAGTGAGCCCGAATATGGTATGAGCCTTTAAAGTTGTAAAGAAATTACTCTCTGAAGTTTCAGTGCTAGGTTTTTGCATGATATACTAAGGGCAAACTGACCTGTATGATATTTTCTCTTCCGTAACAATGATGTAAGCTGTATTATACAACATTACCTTTTTTGCTGTTCAACGTATAAACTAACAATGATGTGAGCTGTATTGTATACCATTACCTTTCTATCATATTCAACACATTAATCTAACTTCAATATATATTTATTGATTTATTATATTTTTGCATAAGTTCACAATATTATTCATTAATTACCTTATGTATTGCTTACGTCATAACAGTTTAGTTTTTGTGTTATTAGCCAAATTATCATATTTCTTTCCCTTACATCTATTTTTACTACTAGATTGGTAAACTCATGCAAGATCTGGTCATATTCTATGACAATGAACCGTACAGCAAGGCTTTCTTTGAGCTTGCTGTTGCAAGGAAGTTCCTGGAGCTTGTGCGTGCCGTCTCAACACTGGGCTACGACGAGATTGACGAGGTTTATAAAACCTACATTGAAGGGCAGGGACACGGTGGTTATCTTAGTTTATAAGTTGAATAGCAAAAAAGGTAATGTTGTATAATACAGTTTACATCATTGTTAGTTTATAAGTTGAATAGCAAAAGGTAATGTTGTATAATACAGCTTACATCATTGTTAGTTTATAAGTTGAATAGCAAAAAGGTAATGTTGTATAATACAGCTTACATCATCATATAGTAAGAATGGGACGGATATACAATACATGCAGTACAACCAAGTAATAAATATTCAAAAGTATTTGAGAGACACCCTTGGACGATAAACAAACCACATACAAAATTATAAATCATAAAACCACTTGAGGAATTTAGCTGAGCAGATAGATACAGTATTGGCCAAAATGTTTGCATACTGTTCTATATTGATGTTATTGTCTATATGCATAGAGTAGTTATTGACTAAATGCCCGAGTAGTAACAGAGAAGGTAGCGTATGATTGGACATACATGTACGAGTTGTTATTCTGGTATGTTTAAATTGTTTTGAGCAGTTGTTCGTCAAAACACACATACACACCTGTTTTGTATAAAAGGATGGGCTTTTGGTATCATCTTTTCCGAAACAGATCAACGCTTTATTCAGACAATTTCTCTGTACTTATTGTAGAGTCATGCCTCGTCACGCGCCAAATTGTTCGAATGTCTAGAAATGGTATGAAGCAAACGGACATTGCCAGAACAGTAGGGTACCCCTTGTGTACTGTATCTAGAATCATGAAACGTCATCGGACTACAGGAAACATTGTTCCAGGAAAGTCTACTGGTAGATGACGAAAAACTACTGTCCGAATTAACAGTGTTTTTATCAGGTTAACACGTCAAGGTCGAAAGAAGTCTTGCAACATCTCACGACAGGAATGACATGAACACATTCATTCCAGGGTATCCAGGAGAACAATGAATAGACTGACAAAACAAGGTTATTTTGCAATAAGAGCTATATGTAAACCGATATTAACCAGAATTTACCGCCGTCAGCGTCTTACTTGGACAAGACAGCATGCCAACTTACAGTTAGGACACTGGCGACATGTCATATTTTCAGATGAGTCTTGTTTCCAGCTTGTTAAAGCTGATGATAGGGTTTGTGTTTGTCGTTTGCCTGGAGAACAGATGAGTGAAGACTGTATTTTCCACAGGGAACATACAGGAAGTGGTGCAGAACATGCTTGGGTAGCTATTCATTATGGTGGAAAAACTGCTCTTCATATTTTTCAGAGAAACGTGAATGGCGCATCCTGTAAGCGCTACATGCAAAATATATTTCTGCCATATGCTAGAGAACGATTTGGAAATAACTTTGTGTTCCAGAATGACAATGCCATTGCCCACAGTGTGCGTATTGTACAGGATCATCTCGACCAGGAGAACGTTACAAGATTACCATGGCCAGCAAAGTCTCCAGATTGTAATCCCATTGAGAATTGTTGGCCAGAACTTTGCCGGAAAACTGCTAACCGCGACCCTAAACCAGCTGTTGTAGCTGGGTTGCAGCACCTTCTAGTGACAAATTAGGATGAAATCATGGTGGATTACATCAATAACCTCATCGACAGCATGCCACGCCGCTTTGCGGAGGTTATTAGAGCTCGAGGAGGACCAGCCGAGTACTGAATGCTTAATATGAACTGATATAAAATTACAGATGTTATTTATAATAATTGAATGGTATATTTTGTCATTATATATGTTTTGGTAAGGTTTTGTTGTGATAGGTGAAATGCTGAATTACACATCTTTGTACAGGTGTCTGATAAAATTGTTTGTTGTTCTAATAAATCGTTTATGATGTCCATAGAACCTGTCTCATTATACAAATTACACATGTAGATGTTTAATATGATATGTATTTCTCAATTTGAGAGTGTTAGGTTTATTTATATTCCATTTTGATAATAATAATCTTATTTGTTACAAAATATGTAAACATTTTGGCCAAGACTGTACACAAAATTCACAAAACTACAACTTTCTCAATTTCATTGACCTACTGATATTGTTGAACGTTTCTAGCTATGTAACAAACAGACTTACCATAGTTATAAGTGTACCAAATAGAACAATAGTACAGGTAGCATGTGCTAGAGCTAGCGTGAAGTAGTTAATCAAATTAATTAACTAATTTATCAACCCCTAGTATATGAACACAACCACAACTTACACTACATCACCCAAATGACATTGTATACTGTAGAGTGTGTGCCATCACATGTAAATGATAAGAATGCACACCACACACACATATATACCATTATTTGCACATATCATAATATTATAGCACACAACCAACACTGATTATATACATACAGGATATCAACACAAATGAATGAATGATACATGAGATCATGTAACCTTGTATGAAAAAAGTACATGAACAAATGGAAAAAATATTTAAACAAGTTGAAAGTGTAGGAATAGGTGCACCAAAAAGTGAGGAATCAGGGTAGGAATGGGCATGTTGTAATAAAACTTCCTCTGTATATCCTCACAAAGGGGGCGTGTCCAACACCACTTTGCTTATCATGGCTGGGATACGACTTTTTGCAGATCTATTTCGGGATGGTTCTGGTGCCCCAAATGGATCCATATTTTTTGTTTTCCAATGTCATTAAGTACAAAAAATATCCGATCTGTACACATCTTTATGGTCTGAGTGTAAGAATGTTTTTCGTGAGTCGGAAAGGGCTGTTACATACCCTTCCAAAAATCTGGCAATTTTCAATGACATCACACTAAAGGACAAATAATTACAAAATATAGTTCTGATACACGCCGTTTAACCGCAACTTTATATTGGCACTCTTTGTCAAGCGAACTGCCAATTGGCGTATTCAAAATCGTGTTAATATAACATACCTAACCCTCTGTAACACACATTTCTGTTTACGCTACGAGTTGATTTCTAATGCAGTAGGAATTAACTCACCTCTTTCACTGATGCCTTAAAGCCATAAATATCGAACAGGTAGTGTGCATGACGCAGATCAGCTGTTTTATTCATAACGTTTTTGTGAGAAAAGCTGAAACTAAGGGAGTAATGAGATACTACATCGCTGATGATGTGAAATTTCTTCTCAATCTTCTTTTCTTCCTTCAAATGTAGTGTACGGCTGTTAGATAGAATTGTAGAAGATGGACGTTATTATATGTATTGGTAAATAATGAAATTTTGAGTTTTCCTTGTTATCCAGAATTCTGAATATTTATGTCAAGATCAGAAAAAAATACATATTTACTAAAAGAAAACGGCATATTTTTATTTTTTATTTGATCTAGCTAACACAAGCTAGAGTTAAAATAAGCAACACTTTAAATTATTAGGTCATCATTATAATTACACTTGATATATATATATATATATTACTTACTTCAGAGACAGTTCAGTAGTTTGCCCGTTCGTCAAAGAAGGGGAAAAGAGTACTTCTCCTTCACCAACTACGTGCTCAATAACGTAGTTGTAACGATCTCCTCGGATGTTGTAATGATAAATGGCATTTGAGTGAATGGGATACTGAAACGTCAAAATATGATTGAGAAAAATTCTTGAGTCAAAATATTGAAAAATGTATTTTACACTGATATCGTAATATTCAATATAATTTAATGCAAATCTGATCAGTTTATGTTTAAAACTATCATGCTTTGTTTTTGTTAATTTCGTTGTTACTTCCGATGTTTTAAAATACTTTGTGAAGTGACTTTAAATATGTTTCAAACAAAATGTTTTATGAACAAGCAGGTATATTCTGAAATCTTTGTATTGAAAAAGAGAAAAGCATAAAAACTGGTATGATATTAAAGTCGTAAATGAAAATTTATTTGATAATTAAATATCCTATGATAATATTAAAAGTTATGGTCTAAAGGCACGCGTTACATACAAATATAAGAGATTCATAATTTCAGCCTTACATATTCTTAGCCATTGGAACGTATATTTATGTGTGTGTGTATATATATATTTGCCTTATATCACCTGTTAACTCTTTTTCATGATATATATATATTTACTGGCTAGTCACATCATTAGGACCTATTTACCCTTTCAAACTTTAGCCTAATTTGAGCTGTAGATGCATATTAGGTTAATAACTTGATGTGTCAGGTGGTACTCGCAACATTATAAATCACTAGGACATTGGTACTTGCATATTTTTACAGTAGAAATAACCGCAAGGCGTGGCAAAATAATGAAAAAAGGTTCAAAAATGTTAAAAACACACGTATATAAAAAAAAAAAAAAAGTTAATTGCACATTTACAGTCAGTCTAACAACTATGCGGAAAGCCACAGTGGCCAAGACAGTTTCATGGGTAGGCTGCTCCAAGACATTAGTCATTAGAGTTAATTAATCAGCAACAGAAAAAGTTGAATAAAATATTTGATGAGAGAGGGAATTGTGATCACAAACTCGTAGTGACAGAAAGAGGAGAAGACGGATTTGGAGAATTGTATATTTGTAATTAAGCACAAAGCTAAACAATGGGCTATCTGTACTCTGCCCACCACGGGTATCGAAACTCGGATTCTAGCATTGTAAGTCCACAGACATAGCGCTGTGCCACTGGGGGGGGGGCTGGTTTGGAGAAAACCACACGAAACATTCAATACTTCTTGAATGATCTCCACTGTCCATGCCTTTGATGATGAAGTCATGGTTTGGGGCATGACACACTCGAGGTCCTTTAGAAAGTAGAATGAATGCTTCAGCTTACCTTTTCATTATTTCTGATATTATACATTCAGCAATGTTTCACGTGTTCCATGATGTGGATGGATACTTCCAAGACGATAATGGTTCCATCTTCTCTCCCCATGACTTTAACGGGTTTAGGTTATCTTTTACCTTAATGACAGTCATGACATGACGTGCAATATAATCCACGAGGTATTCTGAAGATCTTTTCCCCATTCAGCCGTATATATTTTACGCAATTTATGGAGGAAAGTAGAAAAGGGATCGTGATAGCGAATTCATCTTTTAAGTTCATCTCACAGATGCTTAATTGGATTGAGATCCGGGTTTTGGTGGCCATGTGAGATGCTTGAAGTTTCCATCGTGTTTCTCTTAAGTCTAAGTCCTAATAAAATAAGCCAGCAAGTATATATATATATATATATGTGTGTGTGTGTATGAAATGCATCTAAACCTATATATTTATACAACAAAACACACTTTTTGTTATACATATGTGTATCTACCTACCTACCTACCTATCTGTCTGTCTGATATTTACAGAGTGACACACAGGTTATAAATTTTACTTGATAATTTATATTTCAATGGTAATTTCCACGAGTTATGATGAGATAAAGGAACACACGTTATTTTTTATTTTGCACTTAAAATATGCATCAAAAATGCAAAAATCTCAAAATGAACAATTTCAACAGTAGACAAGGACAAATCTGTAAGACATTTACTATGAAGTGATTTGAAAAATTCGGGTTGTTAATATATTTGGAACATTGTATATAAGTCTTTCAGGGGAAAAATAAATAAATAAAAAGCATTTACGCACTGTTTTCTTGCTTTCACAGTTGACACACTTGTATCCTTTGACACTGATGTAGTACCTATAAGGCCTGTCAGTGCAGTGTTCGTAGTTTCTGGACTTGGTGACATTCAGTACATTGTTATTATGAGGAGTTAGGTAGTAAGGCTCGGAACTTATTTTGTACATAGTTTCACATTTCCCACCAATTCCATCCTAATACAAGAAACATTTAATAACTTTTACTAAGTTTAATTCTACTAATTGTCTAAATATGTTTACTTTTACACGTGAAGAATGAAAACATTCTGAAATTTTCTAACAACGTTTTTTATTAAGATTTCACTACTGAAGGACCAAGATACATTTGAGTTATCTGGTGTACTGAGCTGGAATAGGTCAAATATACATTGATGCTTTTAAACCATTTTTGTGATCAACAAACAACTTGTATTTTTATTTTCATATATAGTAAAAGCTAGAAAAACTAATATGCTATTTTATATTATAAAATGTAATTAATTACAGTAGGAAAAACTAGCAAATTCATTTCTCTGTTATATCAGTCTTGCCATGAAGTATATCAATCATTCTTACATTTGAACAATGTTCTTCTGTGATAAACCAAACTTGTCCAACCAACACTATTCTACAATATATCCATTTCTCTCATTGTTCAACAATTATATTGTAAGAGGTCAAACATTTTCAACTTATCCAGCCAATCTTAATATTGAAAAACCTAAACATTAGTTACCCTATTAAAAACAACAATAATAAAAACTATTCTATGACATAATCGATATAAACTTCATAAGCCAGCGAAGCATTGAAAACCAATAGGTCTGAAGTTCATGATCAAAATTAAATTAATTGCAAATGTTGTTGTTGAAGTTTTCCATATTCTTCAACATTTGACTCCTTCTGATTCAAAATCAGAGAGTTGTTGAAATAGTATTTCAGATCTATCTTTTGTCTCTTACAAGTCGCTGCCCAAGAAGCCTTTCGTTAATATTAGTATTCATCAGTTGCATTGTACGATGAGAGATAAAAAATACTCTGAAACGTCATTCATATATATATATATCATCATCATCATCACTACCTCATAGCGGACATGATGACAAGGACAGTCTCATTGTGAACGTTTTGGATTTGTACTAATTTCATTATTGCTATATAGTGTTGATTTGATCGCCTATTTACAATTAATGTATATTAGAGTATTAGGGTAGTACATGAAAATTTACGTTTAAAATGCCGAAAGTCGGCAAAGCCTGTTGAGTAGCGACTTGTAGCAGACAAAGGACAGATCAGATATTTTTTTACACGCTTCTGATTGTAAATTCGAACTGAATAAATTATAAAGAAACGTAAAAAAACAAAATTGCAGTTTTCATTATTTTTATCACAAATTTTAGGCCTGTTCGATAATATGCTGAATGTTATTCCCATCCTTATTGACTGCAGTTTTCATTATTTTTATCACAAATTTTAGGCCTGTTCGATAATATGCTGAATGTTATTCCCATCCTTATTGACTGCAGTTTTCATTATTTTTATCACAAATTTTAGGCCTGTTCGATAATATGCTGAATGTTATTCCCATCCTTATTGACTCTCAGACTTTCAGTTTATTTCTTCTTCTAACTCGATGACGATGAAGGAACCCACTTTGAGACTAATAATGGTTGGAGACGGCTTGAATGGGTAATGAAGATGATGATGACAAAACGTTGTACATTTGCTGTTATGTTAAACTTATATTAAAGTTTTTCTTCATTACCCATTCAAGCCGTCTCCAACCATTATTCTTCTTCTGACATTGAATTACGTAGTTTATTATCTGTTGTTTTTTTTGCGATTAAATGACAGATTAGTGCTGTTGTATTAATATAGAAAAGTATTTCAATAGTAATTAACACGAATGGTTATTTTTTGCTCACCTCCATTACACGGTAGTACTGACTTTCTGGATTTGGCTTGGTGAATCGATTCGGATTCTGGATGTTGATGGGATTATCTTGCTCAAAATCTAAGTGAAAAATACTCATGAAACCCTTCTTAATGTTGACTGCCCATTCAGGCTCATCCCTGCTCACTTCAAACTTGACGATCTAAAGATAAACCCGCGTGGAAGTTTAATACGATTCATTATTCCATTTTGTTTATAAAAAAGAATGTAAAGTAAAATGTTTCATATAAGGTGTTAAGTTAGAACATAGTATTTATCAGGATCAAGTTAAAAAAACGTTAAAATTAGGTGTAATGAAGGCAGCTAAAATATGCATTGTAAATGCTGATAATAGAGTAACAATAAATACCAGGTGAAAACAGATTCTCATATCTTACATAACCCACTATATGATGAAAAAAAGGGAACATTTAAGAATGGTAACTTACACGACCCTTGTGAAAGTAGATTTTGAAGGGTTTAGTAATAGGTTTTGTCAATGCCTCTTCTGACAGGAACTGATATTGAGAATGTTCAAAGTCTTCCATACGTTTGTTCACTATATCAACATTGAAGTGGTTAAACTAAAGAAAAGAAAATGAGAGACATAATCCATGAACCTAACATTATTTATAAAGAAAAACTTCGGAAACAAGAATAAGTAACACTAGAGAGCAGATTTGGATTGGTGAAGAAAAAAATCCTTCTGGTAAATGTACTTTTATGGCGACGATTTAACTAAAGTATACAGTCAACTGATTATTGTAATTCGAAAAACTATTAGATGAATATTGATACAAATTAGGTAGATTCGATTATTAATTTTGAATTTTTATCGTTGAAGAATTGCACAATTCTTTATATAAGCTCTTTATTACCAATATAAGTTAATAATGTTGTAAGTATGTTTATGAACATGATTCAAGAAAAAATAAATAAATTATTGATCAAGAAAAATAATTAGTTTTAAAACTTAAGTGAGTTTTATCATTTTATGATTTATCAATTTCTCATTTTATCTCAACAATTTATCATTTCTTCCTATGTTCTTTTAGCACAAGAAAAAAAATGATAATTTAAAAATAATTACCTTATTAACAATCTAATGACCAAATCATTAATAATTCTCCAGCTGTTATTGAAAAATGAAAAAAGGTTGAATAAACGTTTATACCTTCACGACACTGTAATCTGAATATGACTGAATAACCACTTCAGAATCGAAAACCAGTCCGGAGTGTTGGGGCGATGCCCCAGGAAAACCACTTGTCATCCGGCCATAGTAATGGTAGTGATACTCCGTGCCTTCAACGTACCCTGCAAGAAATGGTTTCTTCACCTTACTATGATTTTGTCGGATTAGTCGTACAAGTTACTCATGAGCTAAACCTATTCTGAACTGTCAACTTGTAGATAAAATGTTTAGATTAAACTCACAACAATTTTATCTTGGAATATTGTGTTTAAGTTCGAGTAGGAGATGACATTGGATGAGTATTTCATAATGACACATTCTTCTTAACCTAAATGAGTTTTTAACAAGCAATTACTTAAATCAGGGAAGTCCAACCTTTTACCTTTGGAGGACCAGGGTTGTAGAGAACGGAAACATTGAGGACCAGAATTTATTATTACCGGAATAGGACGTTCCAACTAAAATGTATCTGTGAGGGCATTTTTAATGCCTAAACATGAACTTTATTGTGTGACTTATAATGAGTACTAGTGGAGTCACGTATGGCCTAACTGTTGCCAGATGAACCACGCTGTTTTAAGCACTCTCATCAATGGAAAATAGTAATAGCTAGATAACAGAGTCGTATTTAAACACATACGTCTTTTATGGAACAACTTTTAATTATTCATATTTAAGAACTAAAATTTAAAAAAAAAATAGGATGACTATGCATGACAACAATTTCTACCGGAAAGAAAAACAGTATATTTACTGTTGATTATATATTCAAATATATATAAAATAGTTGCTTATAATTGAAACACATCTTTAAAGTGAATAGAATACTTGGTTCACTAATTATTCAGCGTAGAAATTATTTTTATTAGAGTTGTTTAAAAAAATCTATTTTGCTCCATAATGCTACTTTTACTGTCGTCATCTCTTTGTTTTTTTATGAATTCGAAAAAACAACAACAAAATATTGGCTTTAATAAGCTCCCATTTCAACTGTAAGCACAGCAACAGGTAAATACTCCAAAATTACACTAATTAAATCAGTTTAAACGCAATTGAAAAAGAAAACTTACCTCGAACACTGGTGAAACCTCCTGTGGAGCGAAAAATAACAAAATATTAAAACCTGACTGAGTTTGTAATTCAACATTTAAAATACACGTATTAGTAAAGCATTCTTTTTGATTTAAAACATAAATTAACGTTTATTGAAGTGTGTCAATTAATAAGCAAAACTGTTTAAGCACCGGCATTCTCTGTTTAAATGTGCTCTTACAAATACCTCTGTATAATAACTCAGTAACACTTATCAAATATTGTAAAAATCTCTTCCAAAATCGTCTTCATGTTGTTTTAGTATTTGAGAATTTAGAAAATTATTATCATGAAGTATAATAAAGAGGTATATTTGTATTGACTGGTTATATTGACCGGTTATATTATCGATATATATATATATATCAAGCCAGCCTGTAAAATATTTTTAGATTCATCACTCACCGATGAAAGCCAAAGCACTGAGGAGAAAGTACAGCCGCATCATGAGAGACCAGTTCAGCATTTACAAAGTGGGGGTGTTTTTATATAGTTTTAACACAGCCATCTTCTTACGTCATTAACACTAAAACCCAATGAAAACGTTCCACAGACACCAGTTAGCCTATTAAAAACAAGAGTTTGTTCTCATGCCAAAGTTTCATGAGACCTCAAGATAACCTTTCACGTGTTTCTAGATAAACAGACTTCTAGAATTATTTTTATAAGCTCGTGATATTAGACAAGTTAAATGCGCCAGAGCTTAAGCTAAAAGAATTGAATAATGTATACAATGAACAAGTAACATTACGTCATATTGAACTTTCACGTCAGACAAAATATTGCGTTTCATTTAATAATAAGCAAGAAAGTGAAAAGTACATAAGACAAAATAAAAAGCAATTATTTATTTGCTATCCGTATTTTTCTTCTTGGTTTATGATGTGTACATTTTTTTTACCTATAGAATCGAGAAAGAAGTAGATAAACGCGTGCTTTATTTGACAATATGCCTATTAAAATATGGCCAAAGCCTCTTACGCTTTTATATGCATAGTATAAAATAACAATATTGATATAATATTTTTAAATTAGAATTGTCGTTTTCATTCAGACATCAGAGTTTTTTTGTTTTTTCATTTCGAAAAGATGCTCACATAACGGTTTTAAGTGTTTCTGACACAGATAAAAATGCAAACATCATTTTAGAGCGTTTGTACAGATATTAACAATGTCAATACTCGAGTTTGTAGTGTCGGCTGGAAATGTCATACCTAAAACTAAATATATTTTGTAACATTAATAACTGACATACTAATTTGACAGATACATTTCCAGCCGGCTGGAAATGTCTCATATAAATATATATAACTAATTGTTGTAACAAGTATATTTCCAGCCGGCTGGAAATGTCTCATATAAGTATAATGAATTAACGGATATATATCCAATTGACACTACGAACTCGGGTGTTGTCATTAGGTCCTCCATCAATGATAGACTTATATGTTAAGAAAGCCATCGCATGTTTGTAGGCCTGTACGAGGGGAAACTTCTATTATTTCGGTATTTGTCTACAACAGATACACTCCTTCTTTAACTTTCATCATCAGTAATAACGCTGTAGTGACAATATGTACACCAGTTTACTGTCCAAAAACATTGATGATCAGAAAGCTATTGTAAAAGTGTCTCCCTTCTAGTTACCTTTTATTCTTTAATACAAAACTTAGGTAAGTGTAACTTAAGGATATTACTATAGTGAAATTTAGTAATTTTTCTTATAACAACAAAAGTATAACAAATATTGTACACTAACTTGTATGAAAGCTAATTTAATCCATACATATTTCAGCTTTATAAATATCAAAGGTTATTATGCTGTCAATATCTTGTCTTGTAAGAAACTTCAAAGATACTGAAATAGACTTTCTAGTTTGTTTGTCCATTTTGTATAAATACTTGTTGTTCTCATGGAGTGATCATGTGACTAACAAATGTAAAAGTATTATATTACAGAGCTCATTCGATCTGTTTTATACATGTGTATAAAAATAATCATATCTACAGTGGGGGTCAGACAATTTTGATTTCAAATGTTTTGTATAACTTCTAAAATAAAGAAACTTGGATTACTTATGTTTCATTTATGATATTCTACTTAAGCAAGTATATAAGATAGTCTGTAATTCAGTGTAATCATGTTGGATTTATATAATGTGAAAGATAATATCATTTATTGCAAGAAACAACAGTTGAAATATTTTGTCACTAACTTTTTTTATTGTTATCATAGTTAATTTGTTTATTTCTTCAAAGATATGATATTTGATAACTCTTGGTTAAAGTGTGGTTCTCTATAGTATCTCAGAAAGTTTCGTTGATAATTATGACTCTTTAATTAATTATAGATTGAACAATAAATTTATTCACCCTTGTCAACATTGATCTCATGAACTAGCATGTTACAAGAATAATGTGTTTGAGTAAGATCGTCGATTTTACACCGTTTGTTCTTCATTAGTTGTAAAATAGGATACACTTGTTTATCATATATATTAATAAGCTTTGGTTTAATTTATTTATTCAATTACTTTTCATTATGAACTATAGTGTTTAAGTAAGTATCAAAATGAGAAATCTGTTCACATAAATTCTACCATTCTGAATTTGATAAAACAAAGAGAATCTTATCAGATAATATATCAATACCATGATAATCAAATCGATACGTAAACAATAAAGTTTTTTGTTTTGTAATTAAGCACAAAGCTACACAATGGGCTATCTGCGCTCTGCCCACCACGGGTATCGAAACCCGGATTCTAGCGTTGTAAGTCCGCAGACATACCGCTGTGCCACTGAGGGGCTTGTTTGTTTGTTTTTAATTATGCACAAAGCTACACAAGGGCTATCTGTGCTCTGCCCACCACGGGTATCGAAACCCGGATTCTAGCGTTGTAAGTCCGCAGACATACCGCTGTGCCACTGGGGGGCTAAACAATAAAGAGGGGATATTATTAACACATGCAGCACGGATTACACTATCCCGTCCTTCTAGATGAAAATCTTGTTCAGTTAGGCTCTCTACAGCAACACTAATGTTTGAAATCCACTGTTTAAATTCCTCCCATTCTGTTGAAGAAAAAGTGATACTTTCCTTGGTTGGATATAGTTTTTCTTTTCCAAAGTCCTTGAACTGTCGAATATGAATATTCAAATTATTTTCATAAGTTGATAGAGTGATGTAACGACCATTCTCAATAGGATAGGCACGAGATGATTCAGGTGCTTCTTCACGTTGTATAATAGTAGAGGAACCTAACTGTCGTTTTTTATGTTTTAGTGGTTCTTCTTTCCTGCTGGATTTGATTTTTCTAACCATTTCATTATCTTCAACAGCATTTCTTTTATTTACTACAGTTTAAAATATAAAATAGTATATAATTAGTAAATCACGTCAACATTATTTATTACAATGACTATGACTGAAAATAATCATCACTATGTCAAATAAGCATAGAAATTAGAATTATAAACAAAGAAATGTACACTATCCTATCCAAAGTCATGGGACTCACCTCTTATTGCGGGAAAATGGGTGTGACGACGAAATATGCAAATAGTTTGGCTTATAAAGGTGATCAGCGATTCACTAGGAAGTCATTTCGAACTTGTACACCAAACGATGAGTACATGGAAAGAGCTAACAGAATTTCAGAGGGGAACGATAGTTGGATGTCATTTGGTGAAAATGTATGTACGTGCTATTTCGTAAAAATTAAACATTCCCAGGTCGACAATTGGCATCGTGCTGAAGAAATGGAAGTCCACAGGTGACAATGAGCCCAAGAAGGTATAAAATACTGACTGACAGGGGCCGACGCGCCTTAAGAAGGCTGGTTACCTCATCTCGCTGTCAGCCCCTAAAGAATTTGTGTTTGGAGATGCGAGCGGTCACAGACAATCCTATAAATGTTTCCTCGACACGTCGAGAGCATACCATAAATTTTCACAGAAGAGCTGCAGCCCACATGCCGTTGAAAATAAAAAAAAATACACACCGTCGATTGGCATGAGGCAAAGCACACCGATCCTGAACCGTGGATCAATGTCGGTCCTGTGGTGCGACGAATCACGCTACACGTTCTTCCAGTCTGATGGACGTGTTTGGGTATGGAGGATGCCTGGAGAACGCTTATTACCTCAGTGTGTTGTCCCAACAGTGAAGTTTGGAGATGGTATCATAGTTTGGGGATGTTTCTCGTGGTTTGGACTAGGTCCACTGGTCGCAGTGCATGGATCCATGAATGATGAGTCTTACATTGATGTTCTGAACAATTCTGTTTGACCTTCATTGTGGCAATTTTATGGTATCGGCCCTTACAACATGATAACGCTCCGTGTCACAAATGAAGGATTGTGAATGCGTGGTTTGAAGAGAATAACATTGGAATATTGCAGTGGCTAGCACAGAGCCCTGACCTCAACTCGATAGAACATTTTTGGGATGAACTGGGATGCAGAATTAGAGCTAGGCCAAAATGGCCCTCTTCAGTAATGGAGCTTACTAATGCTTTAAAGGAGGAGTGGAACACAATACCACTAGCTCTCTACCAGAAACTAGCAGACACTCTTCCACGATACATTGAAGCAGTCATTAAGGCCAAAGATGGGCCAATATGCTATTAATATATTGGAATAAAAGGCATCTTTTATTCATAACTACCCGTGTTCCATGAATTTTGGTAGAATAGTGTATGTAACGATATAGTTACGGTTAAAGGCTGGTTCTTCATTCTTTCTTCTATGTAGTAGAACTGCATCATTTTGAATTATTAGTGGTGAAAGGGCTGATATTTATATATGAAATGTTACCCAGATTTGACTGAACTTTGGACTGTTTGGTACAGACAGAAGTTCCAAATGTCTGAACTTGTAACAGAGCTTATCAACACTAATCAGAAACAGTTAACTCTGTCAACATTAGAGTACATAATTATTTGTGTTGTGTAATGTATTCTCACACATTTTACATGTTTTCGACAGTTTTGTCTTCGAATGCTACGCGTCAGGTGACCACGTGACGATCGCGTAAAAATTGTTCAGTGTCAACTCTATTAGTTAACACTAACGGTCATAAAGTTTTCTAAATTTGATCAAGCTGAGCAGTGGACTTGAATATCAAAACACGTGACACATGTCAGGAAGCAAACGTATACGGTTGGTAATCTGACTGGATAGAGAGGTAATAACAGTAATTATTATTTACATGGATACTTTATATTTAACTGACTTATAAAACAAAACATGAAATAATTGTCCCTTCAGGATATATAACTACATTAATTTTGATTGTTACAGTAACATTAATTAATAATTGTTTCGTATCCAATATTTGTAATTTTTGAGTCTCTGTAGAAAAGGAACATGTAATGAACAAAGGCCGTTGACTAAATTCACAATCCCACACACTGTATATGTGACCATGTGACAGCCTCCTATCAATAATTTGTTTTGACGT